TTCGCTCTCGTCCAATGCCGATATGACACTGACAGGGTGCTCATGACTTTGTCCTTGATTCAGGGTGCAGGTGCTCAGACAGATATAGGCCCTCAGTTTTACGGCATTTGCAACACAATTAAGTCACATAAGATGGGTCCCCCGTTCTATGACACAATTAAGTCACATAGATGGGTCCCCCGTTTTATGACACAATTAAGTCACATAAGATGGGTCCTCCGTTCTATGACACAATTAAGTCATATAAGTCATATATAGTGCCGAAGATTAGAATTGTTACAAGAGAGTAACAAACACAAAAAAAAGAAAGAGGAGAGATAAGGACGATAGATGTTCGCAAACAACATAGGAGCACCCGCCAACCACCCACATCCCCAGTTTTCCTCACATCTAAACTCCAAATAGTGCACAAAAATCAAGGGGTTGGTGGGGGGGGGGGGTTTACAAGATATGAGTTAAACAGTACAAAGCTGAAACACAGGAACTGATCTTGCTGGGGCTTAGGACATCTCAAAGTACTGCACTGGCTTGCCGTGAAATTAAACATGCACTCATGAACTTATTAACTTAATTAGGCTTGGTGATTTCAAGTAGGCTACTACTAAAACTAAAGTCGGACTGGCCTACTTTGACTTAAAAGATCAGAAAAGTTGCAGAGTTCGCTCTCTGGGTACAAGGAGATGCAAATTTTTTAGACTTCCAAATCCCCACTTGTCAAATTACAAGAAATGACATGACAATTTCCCTGAAAAAGGGAACAAGACAGAACTTACGGTACTTGAAACCGACAGCCACTGTTCTGGGTGACTCATTTTCAAGGATTTTCTGTTCATTGTACCATATTATGTTGTACTAACAAAAAAGAAGCTGATATTCAACCAAAAAACAAAAAAAATAAATAAGGAAAGAGGAAAAAAGAGAGTAGAGGGGGGACGTAAGTAAAGGAATTCATGCTGAGTATGCGATAGTCTACTCAAATATTTTTCCAAAGACAAATATGACAAGGACTTAGCATCTACAGCAAGATTCCAGACTAGACCAGGCTTAGAACAAACCCGGGTCAAGCGAATGTGGCTCTAAAATATAGACCAATAGGCAACATGCAAGCTCAGAAAGGCTGTTATTAATTCTAAATATAAATTTTGACTGCTTCACAAAATTGCTGGATATGGTCTTGTGGACTTTGCTCCAAAGACGTCACGAAAAATCCCAAAACGATCGAAATTGCCCAAAATATCAGTCCATTTTCCATGAGGAAAGTGTCTATCCCAGACGGGCAGACTTCAAAGACAGTGTCATTATCATAGTTTGAAAATGCAGTTGGGAAGTGGGAAGTGGTCATTTGTAAAGGTGATTGTCTTGTACAGGTGGTTGTCTTGGACAGGTGGTTGTCTTGGACAGGTGGCCGTTACAGTAGATGAGACAGAATATACTGCTACAAACTAAAACAGTCTCAACAAAGCACTATATATAGGGGCCTACGCATACTGAAACATATAAAGTCGACCAGAACTTGATAAAATATCAAATTCCAAGCCAACTATATTGATATTCTATGAGCATTCTATAAACAGAGGCTACAAGTGATACGTCTAAATGCTGAATGAAATTGTTCTCCAATCCACGCAAGCCACTTGAGCTGTCACATGTGAGACAAACACATACACTGTACACATGCTACGTTCTATTCACAGCCTATCACTACATTGTAGATTCTGCCTGCAATCTTAGCCCAATAACGGGCTCTAGCTTTGTCTGCTGAATACGACAGCTTCTTAGTAATCTTACCCACGTCAAAATCATCATCATCCAAGAGTGGATTATCTGTATCAGAATGACAAGAGTCAAGTTTTCCCAAAGTCTCGAAGGCCAATTCTACACTAGTTCTTATTTTCCCCAAGACTAAAACAGTAAAAATAATCAGTTATAAATATCAAAAGTATTGATAACAATTTGCCAACAGCTCTGGGAATTCACTCTAGTCTAGGAGATGCATAGATTACTGAGACTTTAAAAGCAAAGAAAGCAAAAAGAAGAGAACAGCAACAAACTATTGGGCTGTACCGGTAACTATGAGTAATGATGAAGTTTTGACTTTGAAAAAGGATCTGAATCACAACTTTTCATTTTCAATCACAGCCACAGTCAATGATACTAACAAAAACCTGAATACTAAAACAATGCAAAGAAAAACCTATTTGCATTGTACATTTTTGGTTTGATAATGATAACTTAGGGTTTTATCTGTTTAATGTACTGACTGGGAAAAACTCCAAGACCTGAACATAAATTATTAGGGATATAACACATGACAAGAGACAAATATACCTCAGCTATATATATATTTTTTTTAAATTAGTATTTTTTTTTCAAATTGTGCAACTGTCATGTCATCACATGTCTTTGATCTCTTTTCTTTAATTTTGACATATTTTATTTTATATATATATATATATATATATATATACATATACATAAAATATCAGCCAGCATATCATCAAATAAATCGGGGAAAAGTTGTTGGCTGATCTCTCTTGATACATGGAAACATGACCAAACAGATACAAGCAAGCACAGCTACAACCAGAAATCATAAGTCTGCACCCCCAAAATTAGAATAAATCAAACTGGAAAAAAATAAAAATAAAGTTCCAACAAATTAATTTTTTTAGAGCAAATTGAACTTACTGGATGAGAACGCATTTTTCATGTGGGGATCCACGGACAGAAATCTGTTGGCCACGGACGTCATGATGACTTCGACCTTTAGCTACAAGTGACTTCGACCTTTGGCTACAAGACCACTCAGGCTTGTCTGAAGACCACTCAGGCTTGTCTGTTCTTTTCTAACTTGACAGCATCTGAAAAACGGACGCAAACAACAGAAGTAATGTGGAAGTTATACAAACCTAAAGATCCGAGGCAAAACTAAATCCCCCCCCCCCTCCTTCTGCATCCATTCATTAGCACTCCTTGCTGCAGTTCACACTTCTTAATGCAGCTTCAAAAGTCTCTTATTTGGCTCAAAGTTCTAAAGTGACCAATGCATGAGTTTCTTCCCACTCATTTTCTAACTGTGGAGAACTGGAGATCTAGAGGGGGGGGGGGGATTGGGGGAAAAGAGAGAGAGAGAGAGAGAGAGAGAGAGAGAGAGAGAGAGAGAGAGAGAGAGAGAGAGAGACAGAGAGACAGAGAGAGACAGAGAGAGAGAGAGAGAGAGAGAGAGAGAGAGAGAGAGAGAGAGAGAGAAAGAGAGAGAGAGAGAGAGAGCTAAAGAGAGAGAGAGAGAGAGGGAGGAAAAACAACAATTTGGAAACATATGTTGTCACTTTTCCTTAAACTACGACAGCTGCAGAGTTGACAGTTGGTAACTTGTACCTGCAAAAAGATAAATCCACATGACGTAGCCCGATTTTTTAATTTATTCATTTAACTGAATTTAGACAAATATATTAGACAAAAAGTTCCCGTCCTTTTAGTCTTTGTGATTCTTCCACTGAGAAACAAAACAAATCTAGGTCTAGAATCTATAGCTGTCCTCCACAGTGGAAGTTCCGGAAGTGATATTTCGCGAGGCACATTTTGTTTTGAGAGTATATAGACCAAGACCTTCTAATTTTTTAAACATCTCTCAAGATTTATTGCTTCATTCAAGTAGAGAGAGTGTAAATATAGATCTAGATTCTAGATCTAGTATAGGCCAATCATGACTTCAGTTGATGAAAGCACCGATCATTCCTTAAAATTTCATCGAAAGGGGGCCCAGCTAGATCTAGTATATATATATGTGTGTGTCCTCACCAACTCAAAGATATTAAAATTATACATCATTATCATCCTATATACTATGCCCTTAACTATCTTCAACCTGCGATAGCTAGAACTGTGCACGCCCACTTTTTAGACCCACGCACGTACGCTGGTGTCAGTATCTAGGATCTAGGACTGCTGCTTCAAAGCACTTTATTGCTTCTCCATCTTAGTGTCAATTCCAAGATTACAGCCCCTGGAGAGTTATTTGGACTAATGGAATGAGAAGGCGAAAATATCGGCTAAGCCTAGAACCGATCTAGATCTACATCTAGATCTAGATATCTGGTCTGGAAGTCGTAGGTCTGGCTAAATCGGCTCACAGTACGGCTAGTCCAGGGGAAAAACAAGTTTCAGTCAATTTCAAGGAAAACAAATATATCTGGGTCAAATTAAAAAGAAAAGAAATATAAAGCAAAATAAAAATTTAATAAAAAATCTATGACCTTGTTACTTACATTGCGTACAGTTTATATCCCCTTGTAGAAGGTCGTTAATTAGAGGAACTTCTAGTTTCCCTCCGCGTTACACTCGCTTGACGATCCCACCGCCATGTTGTACACAGTCTGTTGCTGGGGCGGTGTGTAGAAAGGAAAACAACAATAATTTATTTGTTTGAAGATTTTTTTTTCATTTTCTGTCCGAACATGGAATTATATTCCAAGATTTAGACTGAAAATGTAAATATTAAAAAATAATAATTACTTTTTTCTAATTTACAGTATTCTGTGGGCTCACTTGTTGATGACGTAAAAGAAAATCATAAACAGGAAAAATGGCCCCCAGAGCTTGTCGATTGTGCTGTGAAGCAGTAAAATGGGCGCCTGTAATATTCATCACAGCAATAGTTGCATGGTCCTATTACGCTTATGTCGTACAGATGTGTATACGTAAGATATATATACGAATATTCTTGTGTTAACAAGTTTGTTCACGGGTTTTAACTCGTTTTGCTCCCTGGTCCTGCCCAAATCTTGCTCGTTGTCGTTTGTTATTAATGTTAGATCTAGTTTAGTGAATGATGAATGGTGTTTCCTCGTTGTGTTTGCTTTTGTTGACACTGACACTTGTAACGCAACGTCATTGTTGTTTTTGTGGTTCTAGATTACATCCTAGGTTCTGTCAGATGTTAATCTAATGAAATTAGACTCTTGAATGAATTTACTATTCTAAGTTTTCAAAAATAGCCTCTCTATCTAATGTCCAGGTTCAGGTACTCTGAATACTCTGATTGTTTATTTTAGGAAGTGGCTTATTCTCATCCGGGGTGAGAATAGAAAAACGATCTAGATCTACCTCTCACCCCGGGTGAGACTTGCGACCGTAGGCTACTCTCACCCGGTTTGAAACAAGACCTGTTTTTCCTCATGTTATTCGGACTCTGATTCTTGTCCAGCATGACATCAATCACTTCCGACTTCCTGTGACTCGTGAATCCGGCTTCCTGTCCTGCCTCACTCGTGACTCGCCTCAGGCTGGGTAGAGACCGGGATCACTTCGGGCAAAAAGGCGTTTTGTGCAGGAGCCGAGTTTTAATCTTATGATGAATTTGAGGCCGGCCTGAAAAGTTATAGCGCTTCTAATAAATGTTTATTTGTCAAGAGGTCATCAGAAGCAATTAACCCTCATCCTGCGGGAGCTGGGTTTATGTAGCCCGATAAGCCTATTTCGGCACCTCGCCTGCGTTCTGGTCCCGAGTCAGTATAGCTCCTGGCTCAGCTCGCGCGCATCCTCTTACGTGTCATTCGGGTCCCGAGTCGGATCCCCATTCACGCAGGTCAAGTGTGTGTGCGTCAGTCTGCTTGAGTTTGTGTGCGTTTGTGGCCTTCTTCTAGAACCACCTGCGTTGGTTCGTAATCGAGGCATACGTCTCATTCAAAACATGCCAAGTTGATAGCTCTAGATGTTCATCCAATGAAATTATAGAAGAAATTGACCCACTTAGACATGAGGAGCTCGAAAGGATAGTCAGGAAACAAGACTTCCATTTTTTCTATACAAAATATTTCAAATGAGCTTGATTTTGTATGAAATAATACTACCTGATAAAAAATGAGCTTGTTTGATAGTTTTGAATACCCTTGTGCAGGTACAAAGAACAATTTGAGTGTAAAACATTCGGAAATTGACCTAAATTATCCCTTTTCGAACCTCAGGTCATTCATAACAACAAGAGCGACCAGAAAGGTTATTCAAATGGGCGTAACTACTCGTAATGTCTTATCAGCTTGTGAGAGGGGGTTATTCGTGTGTTTGTAACACTTTATAAATAGAATGCTATGAAGGATAGAGCGTTATTTTCATCATCAGTTAGCACACTCCCGCGGTATTCATGGCGAAAACACACGTTTCCCGGCGCACGCGCTGTACACCAACTGTACACACTGAGTGACCCCGGCGGCCTGCCCGGCGAGTCCGACGTAATCGGTTGCTGATAAGATACGCATCTGGGCACAGACGCAGGATAAGAGTTAAAGATGGCTCGTTAGCGTGTGTCGGGGTCGGATGGCCGGCCTGCACACGTGTGGCTGTGTGCGTGTCGGGGAGGGTGGTGGGGGGGGGAGCACTATCGGTCCGGGCTTTGAACGTCGCATACGCGTCAGTCTTTTTCCCCCCGGCAACTGATCATTATTACAATAGAAAGTGGCTATTCTCACCCGCCCGGAAGTTCTCGCAAGATCAACTCCTCCCCTCTTCTTTCTCTCTCTGTCTCTTTCTGAATACTGTCTATCGGTGTGGACGATCAAATTGACCAAAACAAAGTTAAAAAATGATGTTAAAACACAAAAGTAAATTAATTTGGTTGTCTACAAAGATGCTACGGCTATTTAACTTTTCGAATCGTGCCGAACTACGCGGGTCGCCATTTTGTTTTGCCCGGAAATTCTCGCGCTACTCCTCTCTCTCTTTCTCTCTCTCTCTCTCTCTCCACTGCCCACAGACAAAATTGTACGCTTTTAGTAGGCTACAGTTGTAATGGAACGTTTGTTCACGGCACAGAATTCTACAATTTTTCCTCACAGTGTAGAATTCTATGGTTTATGGTGAACGCAAAATTTGGTGAACGCGCACCGGGTGAGAATAGCCACAAGACTCTCCTGCACTATTCTCACTCCGGGTGAGAATAGGGGTGGCCATTACAATAATAAGCTAGTCTTGACGTAGATCTACGTAATGAATTGTGCGCTGGTCTATAGAATCAAAAGTTGCCGTATGCTCAGCTCTACACAGCAACACAACTTTTTCTTGGTAAACAATCGATATGACACAGGCTTGTGTATTTGAACGAATCGGTCTTTTTTTTTTACACAGCTCATAATATGCAGGTGCAGGTGGTCTGCTTATCTTCAATTTTACCTTTTTCTACAACAAAGAAAGTGGGGGGGGGGGGGGGGGGGCGTATCAATGAGGCGGCGGGCATCGGATCGGCAGATAAAGGTGTGGGGGAAACTAAAAAATGGCGGAAAATTGGAAGCACTGAACGTTAGATCTATAGAACGAAGACACTTCCTTTTTTCGGGACCCGAGTCCAAATACATAATTTTCATATTCGGACTCGAGTCCGAATAAGAAATTTTTTTATTCGGACTCGAGTCCGAATATGAAAAAATGTTATTCGGACTCGAGTCCGAATAACGACGGCCTTTAGGAATACTTTCTATCGATTTGGATGATCAAATTGATAAAAGCCAAGAAAAAATTACGTTATAGCACAAAAGTAAGCTAATTTGATCGTCTTCAAAGATGCTATGGCTATTTCACTGTTCGAATCGAGCCGAACTACGCGGGTCGCCATTTTGTTTTGCCCGGAAGTTCTCGCAAGATCTACTCCTCCCCTCTCTCTCTCTCTGTCTCTTTCTGAATACTGTCTATCGGTGTGGACGATCAAATTGACCAAAACAAAGTTAAAAAATGATGTTAAAACACAAAAGTAAATTAATTTGGTTGTCTACAAAGATGCTACGGCTATTTAACTTTTCGAATCGAGCCGAACTACGCGGGTCGCCATTTTGTTTTGACCGGAAGTTCTCGCGCTACTCCTCTCTCCTCTCTCACTCTCTCTCTCTCTCCACTGCCCACAGACAAAATTGTACGCTTTTAGTAGGCTACAGTTGTAATGGAACGTTTGTTCACGGCACAGAATTCTACAATTTTTCTGTTATCACAGTGTAGAATTCTGTGGTTTAGGGTGAACGCAAAATTTGTTGGCCTAGATCTAGGCTATAACGGTGAACGCGCACCGGGTGAGAATAGCCAAAAGACTTGCCTGCACTATTCTCACCCAGGGTGAGAATAGAGGTGGCCTTATTTTATGAGGCCACCGCTGCCACCTCCCGGAACTCTATGATCTATTCTCACCCAGCCCAGGGTGAGAAAAGAGCAGTTGTAGGTCTCTCTTCATCCGGGTGAGAGTGTGAAGCTTTTGGCTATTCTCACTTGGTGTGCGTTCAGCGATGGGCCGATCACTTCAGGCTTCAGGTGAGAGAGTGCTATTCTCACCCCCGGTGTGCGTTCACTGTGATGAACACCCAGTGTCGCCAGTCTAAACAAACGTTCCGGCTCTCTTTCGTTTTGTGGCGTCAGTGGCCTAGTGGTTAGGCTCTCGGACTCGCAACCGTAAGGTCGTGGGTTCGAATCCCATCATGGGCCCGACGTTGTGTCCTTGGGAAAGGCACTTTACACAAATTTTCCTCACTTCACCGAGGTGGGAATGGGTACCCAGCTATAGACAGCGAAAGATCTTGTCAGTTTGTTAGTGTTTGAGCGCTTAATCGGCTGCTCGCACTGTATGCTTCCCCGGAAGCTGAGAATGTTTCGGAGTGTTCCTATGGTCTGCTGGGGTAATAATATAGTGTAAAGCGCATATAGCCTGCTGTTGAGCGGGGATATGCGCTATACAAATGCTATATTATTATTATTATTATTATTATTGTTTTGAAAGGGTGCAAAATTTTGTCTGCGGACAGTAAGAGAGAGAAAGAGAGGGGGGAGAAAGAGATAGCCAAGCCTTTAGAATCTAGAATTTGATATAGAGAGAGAAGGAGTAGCCAAGAACTTCCGGGCAAAAAAGTAATGGCAGCTGGCTTAGTTTGGCTGGATGTGGAAGGTGAAATAGCAACTGTAGTAGTTTAGAGATCTTTGTAAACGATGAAAATAGTTTACTTTTATTGTGCTATGGCTATAGCCTAACATAATTTTTTTTCTTTGTTTTTATCAATTTGATCATCCACACCGATAGACAGTATTCGGAAATGAGGAAAAACAGGTCTTATTTCACACCAGGTGAGAATTTAGCCAACACTCAACACTGGCATGTCTCACCTGAGGTGAGAGGGCAATCGCATAAAAATTTTGTTCTCCCCCGCGATGAGAATAGCCACTTTCTATGGTCAGATAAATGGTCTACTTCTTCAACCTAAGTCGAGTGAGTATCATGGACTGAAATCAGCTGCGGCAGTTTCTCTGGAGACTTTGTTGATTGATGATTAGGCTATTGAAACTAATTTTATAATTGATGAGTTCAAATTTTTAGTCAAACAAAAATGAAACACTTCCTTCTAAACTGACTTGTGACAGTCCTGTTACTGTAACCCTGTCCTGTGTAAGCTCAATCGGTGATGCTGACTAGGGGAGGCCTTTACTCTAAAAGTTAGGCTTGCTTAGAAAGCTGACTTAATAAATACTAACTGCACATATTGTTATTCTCACGCCGGGTTGTTTTTTGGCAGTGTCCCAAACCTTTTTCAGTATTTCAACAATCCCTGACAGAGCCCCAAGGCTGACACCGGTTCAAAAGATGTTCATCACATAGATCTATATTTAGACATTCAACAGAAATCACATAGATCTATATTAGACATTCAACAGAAATCACATAGATCTATATATAGACATTCAACAGAAATCACATAGATCTATATATAGACATTCAACAGAAATCACATAGATCTATATTAGACATTCAACAGAAATCACATAGATCTATATATATAGACATTCAACAGAAATCACATAGATCTATATATATAGACATTCAACAGAAATCACATAGATCTATATATAGACATTCAACATATATAGACATTCAACAGAAATCACATAGATCTAAGACTATAGACATCTTCATCTGAAATTTCCTCCTCACTGGTGTCGGCAAAATCATCCTCTAAATCACTCATTTTGGGGTAATTTTGGTTGAAAATGAAAGAAATACAACACTACAACAATGGGATAGTCTCCATAGTTGTCAAAGCCCTCAAAACCTGGCCATTTTGCTCTTCCAAACGACTTTGCCTATTCCGGTCAGTTGAACTGTAGATGAGGCGACTGTCCTTCACCTTCAATAGCTTTAAAGAAACTTACCTCCCAACTTCCGCCAAACTCGGTGGGAAATGAAAGAAGTGATAAAACTAGCACACTCGTGTCATGAACCCGTTTCCCTACCTGTGACGGGAGCACAAGTTTCTGAACAAAACCGCCAAGTCCATCCCCTCAGGGGTATGGGATCTGTACGTCTGCGAGCCAGTGACGGGAATCGTAGTCAGCGAGTGAAAATGTGAGACAGACAAAACTAGTAGAACGGTTGCAAACAAAACTGAAGTCATCAGAGACAGACTAACATAGAAGAAACTTCAGATGAGGGGTATACACCATGGGCATCTTCACTCTTCTATAATTTAACACTTTCTGGAAATTAAAAAAAAAACCTGAAAAAAACCTGAACAACATAAAAGAAAAAAAAAAGTTGTAATGGGCCGTTCAGTCTTGAGCATGTGACCACCTCAGGTGGGGACCTCACAAGGGAATCGTTTGCTTGCTAAACTTTCGTCCTTTCATCTGCTCTGATTGAGACGTCCAGCTGTGTCTTTAAGACAATCACTTTTCTCCTCCCCAATGGGTGACCCTCTTGGACAATGTCCACCTCACTTTCCAAGTTTGCAACTGTCCCTTTGTTGGAGAATGATTTCCTCAATGCTCTGTGCTTGCTGAACCTGGTTTGTGTTAATCTGTGTGCTGATAGTACAGCATTTGTCCCATTCAGTGTCAGTGTGTATGTGTTAACCTGTGTGCTGATAGTACAGCATTTGTCCCATTCAGTGTCAGTGTGTGTGTTGGTAGTGTGTGTGTTAACCTGTGTGCTGATAGTACAGCATTTGTCCCATTCAGTGTCAGTGTCTATGTGTTAACTTGTGTGCTGATAGTACAGCATTTGTCCCATTCAGTGTCAGTGTCTATGTGTTAACCTGTGTGCTGATAGTACAGCATTTGTCACATTCAGTGTCAGTGTGTATGTTGGTAGTGTGTGTTAACCTGTGTGCTGATAGAAGTACAGCACTTGTCCCCTTCAGTGTCAGTGTGTATGTTGGTAGTATGTGTTAACTTGTATTGTGATAGTACAGCATTTGTCCCCTTCAGTGTCAGTGTGTATGTTGGTAGTATGTGTTAACTTGTATTGTGATAGTACAGCATTTGTCCCCTTCAGTGTCAGTGTGTATGTTGGTAGTATGTGTTAACTTGTATTGTGATAGTACAGCATTTGTCCCCTTCAGTGTCAGTGTGTATGTTGGTAGTATGTGTTAACTTGTATTGTGATAGTACAGCATTTGTCCCCTTCAGTGTCAGTGTGTATGTTGGTAGTATGTGTTAACTTGTATTGTGATAGTACAGCATTTGTCCCCTTCAGTGTCAGTGTGTATGTTGGTAGTATGTGTTAACTTGTATTGTGATAGTACAGCATTTGTCCCCTTCAGTGTCAGTGTGTGTGTTGGTAGTATGTGTTAACTTGTATTGTGATAGTACAGCATTTGTCCCCTTCAGTGTCAGTGTGTGTGTTGGTAGTATGTGTTAACTTGTATTGTGATAGTACAGCATTTGTCCCCTTCAGTGTCAGTGTGTGTGTTGGTAGTACAACATGTGCCAGTGCTAGGAAAGTTGACAGTATTTGCATTTTGTGCTAGTTTTTTTAAAGTGTAAATTTATTTACCTGCATGAAAGAACAGTGAAAGTGGAACAGTTGCATTTTGAGCGAATCTAATGCTGAGCGGTACATGTAACTGTAAAGTAGTTTAGTTATCGTTGACTAAAAATCTTTCTACAGTCTAAATTCCTGTGTAGCCGACAGAATAGACATTAGACACTCACAAGAACATTGTTTCGAATTTGATTAAAGTTGTTTTTTGGGTTTTTTTCATTTTCATTGGAAAATGACTTAGGAAAAGTAGCACCTAATGGTTTCTGTTTTTTTTAGAAAATGTTGTTTGTATTGGGCACTGGGGATGCTGTATTTCCCACGCCCGTAGTGCGCTTTTCATTGAGAGAAGTGCGCCATACGCTTAGTTAGTGTGGTATTCAAAGTAGCAAAGACATTGAGAAGAAAGAAGAAATCCTCCCTGATGCCACACACACACACACACACACACACACACACACACACACACACACACACACACACACACACACACACACACACACTGTACTCTGCTCTTCTCTCCCCTAGTTACCTCGATTGTCCCCCCCCCCCCCCCAATAATTACTATAAAGGGGATGTCTTGTTTTGAAATTGAAGTGTTTGTGCTTTTTTTTTTACTTTCTCACCCTCTGTAAACTGAGTACATTTGTGAAAGGTTAGTTTAGTTTTTGTAAGAGTTTTACGGCACTTGCAACACAATAAGGTCATATAAGTGCCGAAGATTAGCGGTGTTACAAGAGAGTAACAAACACAAAAAAGGAGGAGAGATAAAGATGATAGATGTTTGATAGGAAAGAAGAAGCAGCAAAGGTTAAAAGTGGAATGCTCTCTATGTCATTTACGTTGATATGCCTTTTTTATCATTTCATTATTGTGAAAAGGTTCTGGCTTTTTCATTCTTGTTCTGATCCTCACATGTCGGCTGTTGTGATTTGTGCTGGTTTCAAATGAGTCGCACTCTGATGGAGCTCTCCTTAAGTTCATTCTACTTTTTGTAAGTACAATGTTTTGATTCATGACGAGGCAGGTGGATGGCAAAAGTGAGAGACCGTAGACTGTCCTTTACCACCTCCTCCCATCATCTGGGAAATCTGTTGTCTGAATCTTTACTGTACGTTGAACACATAAATTATAAAAGGCTTAAAAAAAAAACCCAACAAAATTTGATTTAGGCAAATGAATTGATGCTCATTAAAGACACATTTTAACTTGGATTATCGAGATGATTTCACCTAAACTGTTGTTATATCTCCTCCTCAGTGACAGCTGACACGATATTCGAAAAAGGTAAGTTGTTTAAAATGTCTCAGAGTTGTTGGAATGTCTCAGAGTTGTTGGAATGTCTCCGTTCATGAAGTCGTCAGTCTTTGTTTCCATTCTTCTCTTGTGAGTGAAATTGTAATGGATGGGATGACAAACCATTGGATCTGGCGTTTGTGTGGGAACTGGGGCTTTTGGTTTTTCAGGTTAATGACTTGAATCTGATTCCCATTTGGGGAGAGTATTGATAGAATCGCGTGTCCCCCCACCTGTCTCAACTTTCTGCTGCGTAGTTTCCCTCACAGTCTGGGTGGGCCCTGACAGACGCGGTTGGCACGACTGACCCGCTGAATGCTCAATGGTCTCCTTTGTTCTGATTGGTGGTTTGTTGACCATCCGCTCCTGTCCCTTAGGGTTGGAAATGATGTCGGTGACTGCCTGGGTGGTTGGCGGGTGCTCTAGAAGATAACTTGTGGGTGCTCTAAAGGTTTGGTTTACTTTTATTCTTTTTCCTATTTTCTTTTCTTTCTGACTTTGAGCGTCCTGATCTATTTCTTGCCAGTTCCTCTTCCACTCTGATCTATTTCTTGCCAGTTCCTCTTCCACTCTGATCTATTCCTTGCCAGTTCCTCTTCCACTCTGATCTATTCCTTGCCAGTTCCTCTTCCACTCTGATCTATTCCTTGCCAGTTCCTCTTCCACTCTGATCTATTCCTTGCCAGTTCCTCTTCCACTCTGATCTATTCCTTGCCAGTTCCTCTTCCACTATACGTGCAATCAATACAATGTGACTTATCATTTTTATGAATGTTTATTTGTTGAGGAGAATGCTGGAAAAGTTGCTCTTTATTCCTTTGGGGTGGTTTTTTTTTTCATTAATTTTTATTTCTTGTTCTGGTCGGACAGCTGTAATTTTGTTTTCTTCAGCAGTTTTTTGTGTGTGATTATTTTATAATTTCTTTGACATCATGTCTGTATCCACTCATAGCACTGCTGGAGCCTATTTGATTGTTTCACATTTTTGATGGCCTTGCTGTTTGCTTTGTGTACTTCCCAGTGATATTTCTGTTACTCTACCACCCGATCCTGTTCCTGTTCATGTGGTCCTATTGGCAGACCATATTTGCCAAACCGCGAGGTCCTCCCAAAGAGGTAAGGTATTGGTGACGTTTTTGTTCTTGTCTAGTTCATTTTTACATATGTACCTTTTTCTTGCACATCGGCCGTGAACTGGTAGCTTCACTCAGATGATTCTTGTTCTTGTTCTTGTCTAGTTCATTATTACATATGTACCTTTTTCTTGCACATCGGCCGTGAACTGGTAGCTTCACTCGGATGATTCTTGTTCTTGTTCTTGTCTAGTTCATTATTACATATGTACCTTTTTCTTGCACATCGGCCGTGAACTGGTAGCTTCACTCGGATGATTCTTGTTCTTGTTCTTGTCTAGTTCATTATTACATATGTACCTTTTTCTTGCACATCGGCCGTGAACTGGTAGCTTCACTCGGATGATTCTTGTTCTTGGCCTGAGCTGTCACTATATGATCATGTGGGTTTGGGATTTATTGTCACTATATGATCATGTGGGTTTGGGATTTATTGTCACTGTATAATCATGTGGGTTTGGGATTTATTGTCACTATATAATAAAATAAGATAAGATAAGATAAGATACATCTTTATTGTCCAGATCCTGGCACATTGGTTTGGTGTTCCACCACGAGTACACGCACACACATCATGTGGGTTTGGGATTTATTCCAGGATTCAGAAGTCTTGATTTTCAATTGGCTAATTTTGGAAATGATGTGAAGGTTCTGAGTTTCTATCCTAGTAATTGTTCGTATTTGTTGGGGGGGGGGGGGGGGGTTGTTGAAGGTGTTTTGAAGCTAGTACAGTTTTACGGCAGTTTGTCAAACATCGGAAAGATTATTTTCTCTTTTGTTGTCAGTTTTTCCTGAGTTTTGTTTTCTCTTGTGTTGTCAGTTTTACCTGAGCCAGGCGGAGTGGCAGCGGCTAGAGTCTGAGAGAAATGAGAACAGTCAGAAGGAACAGCTGGACAACTTTGCCAGGAAGCTGCCCATCCAGAACCGAACTGTGGCAGGATGTAAGCGAAGAGACGTTCGTTGTTTTACTCATTGGAATGGGGAAACTTTCTTTCTCTTAACTCCTTCCCTGGCAAGCATCTTTGATGTACTGCTGCTTTTTCTTTCCTCTTCCTTACCATCGTCATTTGTCCTCTACATCTTTTGTATGTTTGTCACTCTCTTGTGACCCGCTATTTCCGGGGTGCCTTGATAGTCGAAGCAGACTTTGTGCTGTTGAGGCTAGAAAGGTGAGCAGAGTAAGCCTGATTCGCTGTAAGGACTTCTCTGTTGACATCCACCCCTTGGCGCTCATATGACCTAATGCAGTTGCGAGCGCCGTAAAACCCTCTACTAAAACATACTAAAACAAACCCTCACAGAAAAACAGGATTGAGGTAACCTGCCCTCTGAGTGGTGTCAATTCTGTCCCTGTGGGCGGTCCATCATGTGTTCACCTCCATGTCCTGTCCCTGTGGCCGGTCCATCATGTGTTCACCTCCATGTTCTGTCCCTGTGGGCTGTCCATCATGTGTTCACCTCCATGTTCTGTCCCTGTGGACGGTCCATCATGTGTTCACCTCCATGTTCTGTCCCTGTGGGCTGTCCATCATGTGTTCACCTCCATGTTCTGTCCCTGTGGACGGTCCATCATGTGTTCACCTCCATGTTCTGTCCTGTGGGCGGTCCATCATGTGTTCACCTCCATGTTCTGTCCTGTGGGTGGTCCATCATGTGTTCACCTCCATGTTCTGTCCTGTGGGCGGTCCATCATGTGTTCACCTCCATGTTCTGTCCCTGTGGACGGTCCATCATGTGTTCACCTCCATGTTCTGTCCCTGTGGACGGTCCATTATGTGTTCACCTCCATGTTCTGTCCCTGTGGACGGTCCATTATGTGTTCACCTCCATGTTCTGTCCCTGTGAGCGGTCCATCATGTGTTCACCTCCATGTTCTGTCCCTGTGGGCGGTCTTACAACAACCCCTCCCCTTGTTCACCTCCATGGTTCACTTCTGTGTCAGAAGAACCGTTGTTATTCTTAGCATCTGTTGTCTATTTCACCACACATTAGCTGTCTATTAACTGTCTTACCATTTCACCACACATTAGCTGTCTATTAACTGTCTTACCATTCACCACACATTAGCTGTCTATTAACTGTCTTACCATTTCACCACACATTAGCTGTCTATTAACTGTCTTACCATTTCACCACACATTAGCTGTCTATTAACTGTCTTACCCATTTCACCACACATTAGCTGTCTATTAACC